CGTAAGTCGGATGGTAGGTGTATATACATGTTATGGGTTAATAACATGTATATTATTAAATACCACTGCCTCTACCACTGCGAGTCCCTACTACCCTCCCTCCGACCCCCGCAACTGGCAGCCAGCCCTCCCACCACTGTGTGGTGAGTGTTTTGTTTGTTCATTATTTGCTATTAAACTACAGTATAAATAATGTAAACCCATTCATGACTGCATATTGGAATGGCTATTTGGACAGGTATTGGAAGGTGACATCATGTGTTTACTCTTGAACACAGCAAAGAATCAAACATTTCTGCTACTGCTAATAATATCAATAGTAATAATAATAATAATAATAATAATAATAAATACGATAGAATTGAAGAAGGAATTTGTACAAAAATACAAGGGTTAAAGCAATAGTGGAGGGAGTGGTTGACACATAGTCAGTGTGGCTTTCTTTATGCTGGAGTGAGCATCAGTCTCTGTGCTCTTCCAAACATTTCACAATAATTTATTTTGTTTGGTGCTTGTAGATTGAGTGCGACTGGAGTGGTTGAGGCAGTGGTAGAGGCAGTGGGTGAGGCAGTGGGTGAGGCAGTGGGTGAGGCAGTGGGTGAGGCAGTAGGTGAGGCAGCGGTTGAGGCAGTGGTTGAGGCAGTGGTTGAGGCAGCAGTTGAGGCAGCAGTTGAGGCAGTGGGTGAGGCAGTGGGTGAGGCAGTGGGTGAGGCAGTGGGTGAGGCAGCGGTTGAGGCAGCAGGTGAGGCAGCAGTTGAGGCAGCAGTTGAGGCAGCAGTTGAGGCAACAGTTGAGACAGTGGTTGAGACAGTGGTATTTACTAACATATATGTTATAAATAATAATAGTACATGTTATTATTAATAACATATATAATAATATTAATACAGTGGACCCCCTCCTTATGATATTAATTCCTTCCTGAGAGCTCATCGTAAGCCGAAATTATCATAAGGTGAATTAATTTTCCCCATATGAAATAACGGAAATCAAATTAATCCCTGCAAGACACACACACACACACAGTCCAAGCCCCTCCAAGCGAGGGGCTTGGACTTCCAGCAGGCATGCGTGAGCGTGTTTGATAGGAGTGAATGGAGACAAATGGTTTTTAATACTTGACGTGCTGTTGGAGTGTGAGCAAAGTAACATTTATGAAGGGATTCAGGGAAACCGGCAGGCCGGACTTGAGTCCTGGAGATGGGAAGTACAGTGCCTGCACTCTGAAGGAGGGGTGTTAATGTTGCAGTTTAAAAACTGTAGTGTAAAGCACCCTTCTGGCAAGACAGTGATGGAGTGAATGATGGTGAAAGTTTTTCTTTTTCGGGCCACCCTGCCTTGGTGGGAATCGGCCGGTGTGATAATAAAAAAAAAAAAATAATAATAAAAATAAACAAACTGAAGAAGACATGCACAATTACTACTCTACTAAGAATAGAATACATGACACTTACCTTTATTGAAGATCTGGTGATGATTGATGGGATAGGAGAAGGGGAGAGTGTGGAAGTTATTGTTTAGAAGGGGAATCCCCTTCCATTAGGACTTGAGGTAGGAAGTCCTTTTCTGGGGTTACTTCCCTTCTTTTAATGCCACTAGGACCAGCTTGAGAGTCACTGGACCTCTGTTGCACAACAAATCTGTCCATAGAGCTCTGTACCTCCCGTTCCTTTAAGATTTGCCTAAAATGGACTACAATATTGTCATTGTAATAATCGCCTGCACGGTTTGCAATAGCTGTGTTAGGGTGATTTTCATCCATAAAGGTTTGCAGTTCAACCCACTTTGCACACATTTCCTTAATCTTCGAAGTAGGCACAATGGATTCCACAACTGGCATAGGCTTCTCAGGGTTAGCCCCAAACCCTTCAAAATCTTTCTTAATTTCCATAATAATTCTTACCCTTTTTACCACAGGTTGGCACTAGAAGCTTTCTTGAGGCCCATGGTGACTTATTTTGCAGTTACAAGCACTAAAAACACTGGGATGAGGTGAAATGTACCAAATGTATGCATGGATGCGACCGCACTGGCTGGCTTGTAAACACTGGCGCTGAGGCCACATGTGGGACGCTTCCAGGATGAATCACGTAAGGCGAGTTTTTTATCGTGAAACAAGGCAAAATTTTTGCACTCAAATGCTTTTATGGCGGATTTAATGTAATGCGATGCATTCATAAGGCGGGTTCCACTGTAATAATAATAATAATAATCATGTGTTATAAATAATAACATTTGCTATTATTATTTAAAACATATATGTTAGTAAATACCACTGCCTCAACTGCTGTCTCACCCACTGCCTCACCCACTGCCTCAACTGCTGTCTCAACCACTGTCTCTAACACTGCCTCAACCACTCCAGTCGCACTCAATCTACAAGCACCAAACACAATGAATTATTGTTAAGTGTTTGGAAAAGCACTGAGACTAATGCTCACTCCAGCATAAACAAAGCCACACTGACAATGTGTCAACCACTCCCTCCACTTCAAGCCTGGTATTTTTGTGCGTCCTTGTGTGTATGCATATATTTGTACGCTCGTGTGCACATGTCCGTGCGTGCGCCCTCGTGTGTGTATGTGCGCGCGCGCGCTAGTGTGGGTGTATGATCCACTTAATATTTGTATTTATAACTCATTACAATTGTGACCAGGTGTGGACGTATCAGTGGTTCATTACTTTGTAATTTGTTCATGACTGTAACCATGTATAGGAGTGAAGCTGATTCATTACCTCTGTAACTTGCCATGATTAGTGACCAGATCTACCTGGAGTTCATTACCTTTGTAACTAGTTCAGCTATCATAACTTTGGGGTCCAGTCACTGGACCCATTATGTACCTTTGTAATCTTTTGACTACCGCCCAAAAGGATGGGTATGGGGTGCATAAAGATATAAACTAAAGTGTGTGTGTGTGTGTGTGTGTGTGTGTGTGGGGTGTGTGTGTGTGTGTGTGTGTGTGTGGGGTGTGTGTGTGGTGTGTGTGACTCAACAATCAATATTTGCACCAATAACTCATTACAGTTGTGACCGGGTGTGGAAGTGTGAATTGCTCATTACTCTATAATTTGTTCATGATTGTAGCCAAAGTATAAACGTAAGTAACCATTCTACAGAATTCATTACCTTTGTAACTTGTGAGCTCATTACCTTTGTACCTAGTTCAGCTATCAAAACCTTGGGGGCCCCAGTCCCTGGACCCATTACGTACCTCTGTAATCTGTAAATACCTTTGTAACTTGTCATGATTGTGACCAGACTTACCTGGAGTTCATTACCTTTGTAAATTGTGAGTTCATTACCTTGTAATTGTGAGTTCATTCCCTTTGTAAATTGTGAGTTCATTACCTCTGTAACTTGCTCAGCTATCAAAACTTTGGAGTCCAGTCCCTGGACCAATTATGTACCTCTGTAATCTTTTGACTACTGCCCACAGGATGGGTATGGGGTGCATAATAAACATATTAAACTAACTAAAAAATTATTATTATTATTATTATTATTATTATTATTATTATTATTATTATTTATTATTATTATTAGCAGTAGCAGAAATGTTTGATTCTTTGCTGTGTTCAAGAGTAAACACATGATGTCACCTTCCAATACCTGTCCAAATAGCCATTCCAATATGCAGTCATGAATGGGTTTACATTATTTATAATGTAGTTTAATAGCAAATAATGAACAAACAAAACACTCACCACACAGTGGTGGGAGGGCTGGCTGCCAGTTGTGGGGGTCGGAGGGAGGGTAGTAGAGACACGCAGGTGGTGGTAAACTTAAATATGAATTGGCTGCTAGGAATTTGGCGGTTGGGAATTCGTGAATGTGTGAAGCTCGTGAAAGTTGAAAATCGAATGTTGAGGGAGACCTATCATGTTTCTATGTTATTAATATTTTAATATGCCTTATTAGATGAATTGTGATAGATAAATAAGCTGTAGAGCTGATATTAGTGTCATATTGAAGTACTATGTCAAGCCTCCTGACAGCAGGAACAGATTAGTTAGATTCCCATTATTTCTTATGGGGAAAATTAATTTGGCTAACAAAATCAGTTAAGGACAAACTCTCTGGAAGGGATTAAAATCATCACCCGAGGGTCCACTGTACATCACTAAGTGAGAAGAGGCTGTATTAATATTGTACTCCAAGAATATAATAAAAATTGTTTGTGTTGAAGTCACATTGTTTACTCTATTAGTAAACATAATTATTATACACAACTTGTGATTTATCTTGAAGATATTTTCAGGTAAACATTTAAAAGTGACAATTTTATTAAGTGAAAAATGTGACAATAGATAAAAAAATCTTTTCTTGTTCTGTGTGTTTTGTTGGTAATTGTGGAATATTGTACTATACTAACTCATGTTTCTATTGCAGAAGTATTTTGTGGAAGACTACCAGGTTTTGTCTTGCCAGACACTGTATCTTCAGTACTTCAAGAAGCACCAGTGTAAGACTACCAGGTTGTGTCTTGCCAGACACTATATCTTCAGTACTTCAAGAAGCACCAGTGTAAGACTACCAGGTTGTGTCTTGCCAGACACTGTATCTTCAGTACTTCAAGAAGCACCAGTGTAAGACTACCAGGTTGTGTTTTGCCAGACACTATATCTTCAGTACTTCAAGAAGCACCAGTGTAAGACTACCAGGTTGTGTCTTGCCAGACACTATATCTTCAGTACTTCAAGAAGCACCAGTGTAAGACTACCAGGTTGTGTCTTGCCAGACACTGTTCTTCAGTACTTCAAGAAGCACCAGTGTAAGACTACCAGGTTGTGTCTTGCCAGACACTGTATCTTCAGTACTTCAAGAAGCACCAGTGTAAGACTACCAGGTTGTGTCTTGCCAGACACTATATCTTCAGTACTTCAAGAAGCACCAGTGTAAGACTACCAGGTTGTGTCTTGCCAGACACTGTATCTTCAGTACTTCAAGAAGCACCAGTGTAAGACTACCAGGTTGTGTTTTGCCAGGGCACTATATCTTCAGTACTTCAAGAAGCACCAGTGTAAGACTACCAGGTTGTGTCTTGCCAGACACTATATCTTCAGTACTTCAAGAAGCACCAGTGTAAGATTACCAGGTTGTGTCTTGCCAGACACTATATCTTCAGTACTTCAAGAAGCACCAGTGTAAGACTACCAGGTTATGTCTTGCCAGACACTGTATCTTCAGTACTTCAAGAAGCAGCAGTGTAAGACTACCAGGTTGTATCTTGCCAGACACTATATCTTCAGTACTTCAAGAAGCAGCAGTGTAAGACTACCAGGTTGTGTCTTGCCAGACACTATATATTCAGTACTTCAAGAAGCACCAGTGTAAGTGTCTTGAACAACAACTGCAGGTTGTATCTTGCCAGACACTATATCTTCAGTACTTAAAGAAAGGCAACACCTGTTATTCTTGTGAATTTGTAACTTGCCAAGTATTGCTAATTGAACAATTTTGTTTTTAATATTGGGAATTCTATCTAAATATCCATTGCAGTTAATACAACAATACAAGTTACTAAAACTGTAATTAATAATTTTCAGAAAAATCTATTTAATAAACACAAGAGAAAATAATAATACAAGTGTTGTTGAGTGTATCTGCAGTGTTCTAGTACATATATTAATCTTTTAACACAAAATAAAATTATGATAGTCATTTAACACACAATATAAACTTTATTGTTGCTCCTAAGTATGAAAAGTTTTGCCTGAATATATCTTAACATGGGAATATGTTTAAAAGAAAAACTGTGTTCAGTGTCCTAAATAATTAAAAAAATATTGAAATAGACATGTGAGTACATAAGGAAGGTTAACTATACCACTGTTGTATGACTAAAATAATTTAAATGAAATATCTTCATTTAAAAAATATGGAGAAACTTGAACATAAATCATATCAATGTTCAGAGTGTCTGAAATGTTTTAGTCTGAAAAGTAGTCTTGTGAGACATATGAGAGTACATACAGAAGGTAAACCATATCAATGTTCAGAGTGTCTGAAATGTTTTAGTAGAAAATACAGTCTTGTGAAACATATGAGAGTACATACAGGAGATAAACCATATCAATGCTCAGAGTGTCTGAAATGTTTTAGTAGAAAATACAGTCTTGTGACACATATGAGAGTACATACTGGAGATAAACCATATCAATGTTCAGAGTGTCTGAAATGTTTTCGTAGAAAATACAGTCTTGTGAAACATACGAGAGTACATACAGGAGATAAACCATATCAATGCTCAGAGTGTCTGAAATGTTTTAGTAGAAAAAAACAGTCTTGTGACACATATGAGAGTACATACTGGAGATAAACCATATCAATGTTCAGAGTGTCTGAAATGTTTTAGCCAAAAAAACCATCTTGTGTTACATATGAGAGTACATACTGGAGATAAACCATATCAATGTTCAGAGTGTCTGAAATGTTTCACTGAAAAATGCAATCTTGTGACACATATTAGAGTACATACAGGAGATAAACCATATCAATGTTCTGAGTGTCTGAAATGTTTTGCTGGAAAAAAATGTCTTGTGTCACATATGAGAGTACAAACAGGATATAAACCATATCAATGTTCAGAGTGTCTGAAATGTTTCACTGAAAAAGGCAATCTTGTGACACATATTAGAGTACATACAGGAGATAAACCATATCAATGTTCTGAGTGTCTGAAATGTTTTACTGAAAAAAGAAGTCTTGCAAATCATATGAGAGTACATACAGGAGATAAACCCCATCAGTGATGTAAGTGTTTGAAATGCTTTAGTCAAAAAAGCTGTCCTGTGAAACATACATGAGTACATTCAGGAGATAAAACATGTTAGGGTTTAACGTTTCAGGAACACTTTAGTTATAAACTCATCAGAATATATAAAAGAGATCTGCCATGACAGTGTTGAGAGTGAAATATGTTAATAAAATATTAGTCATGTAAATCATATGTATCAGCTCATCGAGGAGATAAGTTGTGTTAATGTTCAGTATATCTTATGTATTTTATGAAAAGATCAGTCTTGTGTACTCATGAGAGCTAATGTAGAGTATAAACATTATATATGGAAAATACGTTAAGGTCAACTCTGTAATCTGCTTACCTGGAGTTTACCTGGAAAGAGTTCCAGGGGTCAATGCCCCAGCAGCCCGGTCTGTGACCAGGCCTCCTGGTGGATCAGAGCCTGATCAACCAGGTTGTTACTGCTTGCTGCACGCAATCTAACATACGAGCCACAGCCCGGCTGGTCAGGTACCGACTTTAGGTGCTTGTCCAGTGCCAGCTTGAAGACTGCCAGGGGTCTATTGGTAATCCCCCTTATGTATCCTGGGAGGCAGTTAAACAGTCTCAGGCCCCTGACACTTACTGTATTGATCCCCCACCCCCCCCCCCTCTTACCATGCTAGTGACACCCCTGCTTTTCATTGGGGGGATGTTGCATCGTCTGCCTAGTATTTTGCTTATGTTTTGAGTGATTTTCATGTGCAAGTTTGGTACTAGTCCCTCTAGGATTTTCCAGGTGTACATAATCATTATCCTCATGCCTGCATCCAGGAGTACAGTTCAGGAACTTCAAGTGGCTCCAAGTACAGTGGACCCCCGTTAACGATATTTTTCACTCCAGAAGTATTCAGGTGCCAGTAACTGGACCGAATTTGTTCCCATAAGAAATATGGTGAATGTAGATTAGTCCATTTCAACTGCAAACATACATGTAACAAAGCACTTACAAAAATACACTTCATAATTGGTCACATTCGGAGTAATCGTATGCGGGGGTCCACTGTAATTGAGGTGTTTTATCTCCGTTCTGTCTGCACTCTGTGAAGGTTCTCTGTACATTTTTTCTAGTCAGCAATTTCACCTGACTTGAAAGGTGCTGTTAGTGTGCACAGTATAAACTCACTTAGATAGAACAAGCAACCGAAGAGTGTCATCATGGCATTGCAATCCTAGACTTGAAGTTTCTTCATTATTCATCTTGTCATTTTTCTAGGCATATTGCCGATTGATACAATGTTGGTCCTTGATTGTGAATCCTCCAACATGATCACTCCCAGGTCTTTGATGTTGGTTTTTCGTTCTATTTTGTGGCTGGAATTTGTTTTGTACTCTGATGAAGTTTTAATTTTTTTCATGTTTACCCAATCGGAGTAATTGAAATTTCCCATTGTTGAACTTTCCATATTGATTTTCTGTGAACCATTGAAAGAATTTGGTTGATCTCCACCTGGACTTGCAGTGTCAGCATATGAAAGACACTGTCTGTAGATTCGGGTGGACATCTGCAAAGGGAATATACGGTCTGTGGCTTACATCCTTGTGTATTCAGATATGAGGATGGAAACAAGATGGGAGGGAGTATTGTGCCGTTTGGAACAGAGCTTTCACCAAAGCCCACCTCACACTTTACTCTGTTGACTACTACTCTTTTTGTGTTTCTGTTTGTGAGGAAATTATAGATCCCACCTACAACGTTTCCTGTTAATTCCTTTAGCACGCATTTTGGGTGGCACTCTTACGCATGTCAACACTGTCGAAGGCTTTTTGCAAAGTCTGTATATTATTACATCTGCATACTTTTTTGTCTTCTAGTGCATCAAGGACCTTGTCTGTAGTGGATCCAATAGTTTTGAGACAGACAGGAGCGACCTCTCTAAACCCAGTTGCCCTGGTTTGTGTAAGCTGATTTGTTTCTAGATGTGTGGCAACTTGCTTCTAGGACCCTTTCAAAGATTTTTATGTTAATGGATGTTAATGATGCTATCGTCTGTAGTTCTTTGCTATGGCTTTAGTGCACCCCTTTGATGGAGTGGGACTATGTCTGTTTGTTTTTAATAACCTGTGGGACGACCCCCGTGGTCCCATGCTTCCTCTCCATAGGATGGTAAAAGCTCGTGATAAGGGGCTTCTTGCAGTTATTGATGAAAAACACGGAGTTCATGAGTCCTGGCCTGGGGCAGAAGCGCATGGGCATTGTCCATTTATCGCCTGTTCAAAGTCCATTTGGCATCAATAACATCAGATAGTTTGTTAACCAAATTCTGTGGCTCTGTGCATAAAAAATTCATTTTTTGATCTTCGACTCAGTCTGTGTTAGCTGCTTGCTAAAACTGAGTCAATTGGGAACTTGAGTAGCTCATCTCATTTCCTTGCTGTCTCTGTGTAGGACCCATCTTGTTTTAAGTAGGGCCCATATTGGATGTTTGTTTCTCTTTTTCTTATAGGAATAAGCCATGAGATACTCGGAGTGCCATCGAGTTAATAGTTCAAAGCATAAGTTGGGTCTGTGTTGCTTAGTCCTATCTTCCCAGCTTATATCGTTATTAGGACTTAGTTTAACTTGGTCCCACTTTGTTCTTGTTATTGACGTGAATTTGACAGAGGCCTCCCACGTGACTAATCCTCATTTTGTCGGTCTGGGGTTTCCGGCATACACGTCTAAACTCGAATATTTGGTCTGAGAATATTGTTTTTTGATATGGTGATATTTCGTTATCAGATCATCATTGTTTTAGTGAAAGATGATTCTAGCGTATTTCTCCAGTCTAGAGGCTCTATTATTGCTGGTTTAAATTTGAATTTTGTGCAGCGACTTAAAAGCTCGTGTGTGTGGTGTGAGTTCTCGTCAAGAGCTGCTCCATTTATCACTGGCACACTGCCGCATCATTATTGCCTATATTCCCCTCCATTTTAGGTGCTTCAAGTTGAAATCCCCCATGAGCAAGATGTTGGGGTAGGAGCTGGCAGAGATTTTGAAAGCTCGTGAGTGTGGTGTGTGTGAGTTGTCACAAGCTGCCTCCTGGTGTTATCACTGCAGCAACATCATTGCTATATTCCTCCATTTATAGGTGCTTCAAGTTGAAATCCACCAGGACAAGATGTTTGGGGCAGGAGCTTCTGCAGATTTTCCAGACAGTCATATTCCTGGAATGCTGCTGGGACATTGCATCCAGAGGCTTGTAGACTAACCACAATGGCTTAGGTTTGTTTCATGATCTTTACTGCAAAACTTCACTACATCATTTGAGGCATTAAGCAGTTCTGTGCTACCAAGGTGACCTTTGTGATATACAGGCCAACCCCTCCCCTTTGCTGTTCACTCTGTCACACTATATAGGTTGTAACCTGGGATCCATATTTCGTTTGCCCAAGTGATCCTTTTGGGTCTTTGGTGAAAGCCACAAACATTGCATTTACCTCTGCAAGCAGTCCATGGATGAAAGGTATTTTGTTGTTCGTTGCTGGCTTAAGACCCTGTATATTTGCAAAGAAGAATGTATCAGACTGGTGGTATTGTGGTACTGGGGGGATCATCTTTTTTTTCGCAGCACTAGTATCAGTATCGTTGGTTTGGAGTGGTGGCCATTGATTGTGGTTCCACTCCTGAAATGACTGGATTTGGCAAACGATTTTCTCCATTTCCTACCAGTATATTTTTTTCTTCTGGCACTATAATACCTCTCCCCTTGGAGTGGCTGTCACTACCCAGGTTTTCCCATGCCTGGATAGTTTTGTACCATTTTGTCCCCTTAGATGGTGTGAAAATGGCAATTTTAATTATAGCACACTCTTTTCCTGTACTGAAGAGGGGGCACATCAGGGTGAAAAAGCTTAAGAAG